AAGAAGGCCAAGCCCCCCATAGCAAAAAAAAAAAAAAAAAAAAAGAACCTCTCCAGGGGGAAAAAAAAAAAAAAGAAAAGGGCAAAGAAAGAGCAAGGAAGAGATCAGACGAGCTCGGGATAAAAAATAAACGTATCCCTAACCTAAACCGACTACCTGTCATCCAAGTTCCAGAGAAGCAAATGATTCTCCATCTATCAACTGCACCAACCCGCAGAGCCAGAATGCAATAGCGCTCCCCGATCACACAGTCATTCATTTATCCAACGCACAGCTCTGTGCCCCAGGATGGAGACATCCCGAGGCATTCAGAGTACTCAGCTTGTACAGGAGGGCGGCTAAGGCGCAGGTGCTTCGCAGACAGTCTGGTGCCAAAAAGGAAGACAAGTCAGACTAGGCGGAAATTCTAGCATCGCGGCGAGGCAGAAACGTAACGCAGTTTGTGCAGCCAACCTTGTTTATTGAGAAGTCCTAATTTTATTGCCCATTTAGTAACATGTTTGTTCCACAAACTAATTTCTCATAAAGCAAAGCACAACTTTTTCTTATAAATAGTATAAATTATTTTATTTACAGAAACTTGTTACAAAACAAATAGACTATATATTTCTTCTCTTTTAAATATCCAAAGTAATTTTCTATCCCTTGACATTTGTTCATGTTCTATACAGCAGCCAACACAAAGTCCAGCTGAGATGCTCTTGATTATGTGTACAAATTACTGAACTATTCACACATTTTAACAAAGGAGATTGCTTTTATAACCAAGCTCAAAAAAAAAAAAACAAAAAAAACAAAAAATAACAGCAAAAACACATCAAAGCCCTACATTCACACTGACAGTATGTAGTGCTCATTTAAATGATCCGAAAATGGAAAATGTTTTGCACAAAATGTAAAAATGATTATTTTCTGCTAAACAATGAAACTTTTAACATTTTTCAAAGCCTAACTTTTCCCTCCCAGGACAAAATGAGAGACATTAAGAAATTCCTTGGCAACAGAACTCTTGCAGGAAGACAGCTGCCTTTTATAAGTTAATGTTTTTCAAATTATACATTTTTTTTTCAATGTTCTCAGAGGTACTTCTTTGTATTATATTTTTGGAATACAAAATAGTTTAGATATTCTATTTTAAACTCTGTATTTCATGAGTGAATAACAAAAACGGACACATCGTGTGAGTTGCTGGCTGACAAAAAGACCTGTAACCCTTGGTGCCACGGGGCAATCCATCACCAGGTGAATTACTGTGAACCAAAAGGTCTGAATTTTAAAATACCTTATAAAATTACCAGCACTGGTGGTTTTCAAACTCCTCCCCTAAAATTTTAGGAACAATAGTTAGGTGGAAAAAGCAAACTCCAAAAGTTCAACTGAACATTCAAGTCTTTTTAAAGAGAATCTGTCTAAGCTTAAAACTAGGTTCAGGCACTTTCAGTTTTTTCCATTAGTTTTAAACCACATCACATACTAACGCACATGTGCTCAGAGTATACACAACCACACACGCACAGGCGCATGTGCGTGCGCGCACACACACACACACATACACACACACATTCTCTCTCACACTTATCCGTAAAACACTAACAAAAGAAAAGCAGTGTGTCACTTAGTTACGTGTAGTCTAGGGAAATCAGGCAACTAGGGAGAAGCAATGCCCACTTCATCTGTATGAACCCACTCCCGAGACATTAAAAGGGACAAAGACTTTCACAGAACAGAGGCATCCCTTAAACTATAAAGGAGGCAGGTTCTAGAACTATTGGCTTGGCAGTGAACCACTTCAAATTATAAAAAGGTATTTACTTTTATTAATTAATAAATAAATACTAGATGATCTCAATTGTACCAAAACAGGATATCAGAAAAAAAGACCTGTGCAAAAATACATATTTAAATATGTACAATTCATTTTTAACAAAATATGTCTTCTGAAATAGGGATACTTCCATATTTATAATAGAACAAGAAATTCCAAAATAAAGATACAAAAGTAGTTTTGTATAATTCTTTGTTCATCATTGCAGCACTTTTTTTTTTCTTTTTTTTTTTTTCCGTAGGTTAAGAAAACTGCATGAGTTGCCGTGAAATTCTATTGGAAAGAATATAAAAATTATCTTGGTTTTAAATTGATACCAAAGTCTGTCTAGAAACAACCCAACCACTGCAAATTTGTTTTTTTGTAAGTTAATTTAATTCAAAAAATACTTGTACTCCCGTGTTTTAAATGGTCTTAATTGTTCATCATAATAAAAAGTAGTTGTAGGAGAAAATAAAGTATTTGAACAACAGTCTAAAATTTAATAGCACTGTTTAGAATAGGTCTGTTTGTGGCAGGCAGAATCCAAAATGGCTAATTTCCTAATCCCGATGCTCTGTGTATTACCGGGAGACGTAATGAAATCCAAAGAATACCTCAGTCTAAGAAATCAAATGATCAACACTCGCTAATCTAAATATCTACATTATTCTGAATCAACTTGCTATCGTGGATCCTATTCACATCTTCTGGAACAACATGATCTGTCTATAAATTCCATCACTAAAAGCAACTTTATTTATAACCCTCAAGTCCCCCTTGGCTCTGAGAAGAAATTCTACCCGTTCCCCATTGCACTTGTCACCAAAGGAATCAACAGGCATGTTCTGATCCCTCTTTCCTACTCTCTCTCTCCCCCACTGGGATGGACCCACCAGACTGATTCCTCATAACTACCTCAAACTGGCCCATCCATGCTCTCTCCTTACCAAGCTCTCCTATAGTATCATCTTAAAATTTTTTACTGATTGCATAGGGAGTGAACAAGATACTGTTCTCCCCTTCCTTTAAAAGCAAAAATCAGTATTTTACATCAATTTATAGCTAAAGTATCTGCATAAAGTTTCCATTTTCTCACATAATTAAGAATAATTCTGTAGCAATTCACATTATTAGGCTGGTAACCAAGTATTTATTCATTCTACCTGTTGTTGATATGAAATTCCCTGAAACTGAAGTTTGTAACCCAAGAATTGGAGGCAAAAAGGATGTACTGACTGGCTCTGCCTGGGCCCTGGCCAGGGTAACCATCAGAGCCTTAGGAATTTTACCCTGTGTTCAGCAACCTTGTGTGTTTTTCTAAGCAAAAGTGCCTGGTTCTAGTTTCAGGAGCTGTGGTGATGGAATCACCCGTGAAAAGGCCCCAGCTCACCCCCCAAGTTCACTGTCATCTTCATATGCAATGCTGTTCTCACACATTAAGCTCTTCCTTTTTGGGGTGGGTAGAAAAACATCCCGGAGGGCTGCAAAACTCTCTCAGGAAGATGGCTGGCATTAGTCCCAAGAAGAAGGTGTGTTTCAGGGAAATACTATGTAGGTGTCACATCTAACCTCCATGTGGACATGTGTGCACGTCCTCCACCCTCCCGCCCGGTACCTGCTCCCCACCTCGGCTACAGCCATAAACTTGTGCAGCACGACGAACGGGAGTGAGGACGCACGCATGTGGTACTGGGAGCACGCAGTGAAGCAAAAACTCCATGTAGCCCCAGGACAGTGTCCAAAAAAGAAAACAGGGGTAATGCAGAGAGTGCCTCAGAAACATTTAAGTACATCCTAATCATTTTACTTTAAAAGGCAATTTTAAAAAAATAGACTGGGTCAGGCAACCAACCCAATCTGATATACTATTTAATATGAAAACTTAAATTAGAAAATTCCATCTCTTTGGAAATCTTGGAAGAAGGTTTTTTCCCCTCCTACAGTGATTTTACTCTTCCCACTCCCTCCCTAGCATCCAATTTGGCTTTCCTTTATCAAAACTAATTTGCATTTTCTTTCTCCCCACCCAATCACAGAACTGCATTTGTACCATAAAAAGTAAGCCTCTAAAATGGTTTATAATTGCTCTCTGGGCATCAATGGCTTCAAAGAGGCTTGCAGGTTAGAAACTTCTGACAGCTTCTCATCCCAAATTACTTGCAAAAGGCTGGGCTATTTTGTCATGGTGCCTTGCGCCCATGTCCATGTTCCGTCCTAGAACATTGTTATTAAACCTAAAGCCAGATTTCCTTCTCCAGAGGATCGCTCAGGGTGCAGCTCGCTCTCTCCTCTGGAAGGTCTCCAGTCTCCAGTTAAGGTGCCTAACTGCTGGAGCGTGACCTACAGAAGACAGTGTTAAAAAAAAAAACAAAAAAAAAACTTTTGCTGGGGAGAAGGAGGGAGAAGAGTCTACAGTAACGCTCTTGCCAGAACATTCTTTTGCTCAGCCAACCTACTCAAAGAGTAGCTCCATGATATACTGCAAGTTAAAAAACAAAACAAAAACAAAAACTTATCACAGATTGGTAGCAAGCAGTCCAGACCACTTTAACACTGATAAAAGCAATTCGGTGGCTGAACTTGATCCAGTGTCCTTTATGAGTACTCACTGCTACAGACAGAGCTTCAGGGAAATCCTTGTAAAACAACAGCCCGGCAGGTTTCTACCCTGGAGGTCCACAGGAGGTTGGGAAAACAGACTCAAAGGCATCGTGGAGTCCAGAGTGCTGAGTGGAGGTGTAACTTGTCCTCAAAAGTGTCCGGATTATTCCTCCCCGTGCTATTTTCTGTCAGGGACGTGCCTTTGGCTTTCAAAAAAAGAAGGGATAGGGAAACAAAAGTTAAGCAAGCAGTTGTGCTCTGTCCTCCCCTGATTCTACACTAGAATGTTCTGAAGGCGACCATGCCCCTGAAGTGCTCAGTGACCGAGGACTGCCAGGAGTAGTCAGCTACAGAATGTGGCCTTAGCTTTCCAAAGCCTTTCACGTGCTTCCTGTTCTTGGGCACGATCATTCTCGAGATTTACTTTTAAAAAACTGGCTAGAAGACATGTAGGCCTGAGTTTCTAGCATAGAGAAAAGGCTCTCATGACTGCCTTTTGATTTTACTTATTGATTTTTCTGTCCTTCAAGGTATTCAAGGTTAACTAGGAACTGAACAAAGTCAAAAGGACTGGCACACAGACGTGACAACCTGCACCCAGGGGAGTGCTTGTGCAGGGTGAGGGGACTATGGCCTTCACAGCTGGGCTATTTCTGAGTCTTGGGTGGCAGAGGTCATAAACTGACTATTGGGGTACCTGCCCAACCCCATCTCCTGGGCTTCCCAGCATGTACCGCTTCATTTCCTTTGTCGAAGACTTCAACCAGCTCAGTTATCTTAGTTTTAAAGTCAGTTCCACCAGGAACAGGAACCTGAGGTCCCTACTTACTAAAAGCAGCATTCTTTAAAAGCATTTTGGGGTCATGAGTTACTTTGAGATTCTGCTGAAAGCTTTAACATCCCTCCTGCAGATAAGTGAACACAGACATAAAAATGTGCACCTCTCCTTGGAGTTCACCAATTCTCTGATCTCTAGCCATAGGCCCTTCCAGGACTTGTGCAGCAAAACAAAGCATTCTACTGCACAGAGAAAATCTTCCTCAAACAAGGGCTTAAGCTGAAACTGATTTTAAGGAAAAGAACTGAAGGTAAAGCTCTTTGGATCTTCCTACAAGGGCACGGTCCCCCCACTGGGAAAACTGAGGTGACAAACTGGCAGCTGATGAGCCAAACTTGGCCAACGGATGTGAGGGCTACACCAGATTTTCGAACATAAATGGCCAGAGTACTCACTGCTACAGACCGCTTCTAGAATATAAACGACTTACACTTCACAAGTAAGTCCAGATCTGCAGTTTATCTACCATAGTTGCTGCCAGTAGCTGTTCTGGTAGAGGGCGCACCCCCGACCCCCAGTTTTGTACAGGCACATGACTCGCTGCTGCACACCGCCTCTTTCTGTCCTGTGTTCCTTGTGGGCAGTAAGGTCTACACCTGTCTAAACGAAGAGTATTCAGTGATGCATACATGTATGGACATTCCAGCAGGACGGAATATCCCAAGGTCATATCTGCTCAGGATACTCTACTCAGAGGAAGTTTTCGAGGGGCGGTTATACCATTTCTTACCATTTCTTGCTGCTTTTGAACCACTCTGTAACACTTATCATAAAGTATAATAAGTAACTACAAACCAGGAAGTGAAAGCACAATCCTCATTTGTCCAGGAACCTCCTACTCAAAAACCCAGGTAATATATCAACAGCCCACAATTTAGCAGTTACGTTAATGCATAGCTATTTCCCCCATACCTTAGGTGTTCAATTATATGAATGTTGGAGGGAAATTATGTCACAGTAATATAAAGCTTCTTGGTATTTTCAGGAAAAGTCTTAACCTGGCATGTGAGTTAACTTCCAAAATGAGAAAGGGGAAAAAAAATAATTATAAGAAAGACCCTCACGTTTTAAATCAGGGCTCTAGGGTGATGCTGCTGAAATTCCTGTTTGTAAGCAAGATGAGGAGATATCCTGATGAATGAAATAACAAGATGAGAGATGAGCTGGAAGTTAGTGCAAAGAAGCTGGAAGAAACGGCTACGGGAGAGAAGGCCAGGAGCAGACTATAACAGGTAGAAGAGCAGGGAAAACACAAAGATAGAGCATAAGAGAGAAAGTCGTGATTAATAGGAGTTGGACACCCACTTCACCACTTTTCAATTAATGGGCCCACATTCTGCTTTCTTTTTAAACTATTTACTGAGATCAGATTTTAATCTTCTGCTATGCCCATACTAAATCCCACCTCTCCAAACACGGAGAAGAGGCCCAATTGCTGTGGTGCAACAAGTGCCCAGCAGGGCAGGAAGCCGTAAGGCTTACCACAGGTTCAGATCCCTGAACACACTGGATGTGTCTCTGGTGTTCAGGATCCTGAGAAACTGGAGGGCTAGGGAAGGGGAAACAGTGGTATGATGAGACCCTGTCAAGAATGGTTCTCTCGGGACCAGCAGTTAGCGTAATGGCTATGTCACTGGACTCCCATGTAGTTGACTGTAGTTTGCGTCCTGGACCTGGTGGCTTAAAACTCACGCCGGGCGTGTGTGCATGCATGCCCAAGATCCCGAGAGGAGAATGGAGGAGAAGGGATTGCGGTGTGGCCATCCCCCTGGGGGGTGATTTCTCCCTTTCTGTCTCTGTCTTTCTGGCAAGCACACGCGCCCGAAAGCAAAAAAAAAAAAAAAAGAAAAGTTCTCTCCTATCCAAATGTTTGTTATCATAAAAAAAAAAAAAAAAAAAAAAGGACCCACCGGGGGGGTGAGGGG